TTAAAAAAAAAAAAAAAAAAAAGCTGTTATTCTTAGTGGAATATATTCATTTCCATGTGTGATGGCCCTAAGCTCCCACTGAATTTGAGGGGTTGGGTTTGGGGGTGGTTTAAGTTCAGTTCAGTTCTGCAGAGGCCCAGGGGCTTCCTACTTATTGCCCTCTCCCACTACCTCCTCTTCACATGCCCCACTCTCCACTCCCACCTGGCACCCCCAGACCCCACTAACCCATATGGCTCTTTGTGCAAGTCAGGAAATGGCCTCACTTCCTCGAAACATCAAGTACCGTCATGTTCTGTGGCTGCTCTGCTGTGAGAGCCTATGATATGATGCCTGTGATGATTATGACATGAATGCTGTCTAACCACACCCCCTCCCTAAAGACACGCTCTGGGGGGTCCTTCCGAATGGGCCTTTTCTTCAAAGGCTGTGTGGTGTATTCAGCACCTCTGAAAACTGGCAGAGAGGGAGGGACTGAGATGCAGTGTAGCCAGAGAGACTGGCTTCCTCTTTGTAAAGTCAGGTTGTCATCACTTTGGGAAAATCATTACCTGTCTCAATTTGTATGCTCCCCAGTAAAGCCCGAGAGGGATCATGAGCTATTGTGGGTCTGCAGGAGGGTCACTGCAGAGCTAAGCTCAAGGGCAAATATTTATGTTTCAAGTTACTGCAATGAGAGCCTTAACTAGTAAAGAAACATTCATCTTGAAAATGCAAACTGGCTTTAGCATGGATGTTAATTTGGGTAGCAATTTATAGTGTCCAGAATCCCGCACTATCATTAACCCATTTCAAGAATCCTATGAGACGTTAAGTCACCTTTATATAAACAGGAGTCTGAGACAATTAGGGGATAAGATACTCAACCAAGTTCAATTCACATGGTTGTACAGAGGGGCACAGCTCACACTCAAGGTTGTGTTTAAAGTATATAATTTATCACATATATGTGGTCCATACAAAATCAAACAATGTCTGTAGTGTGCATAGTAGCCACCCAGAGCGTACTCACATGGAAAGTGTCCTTAACAACACTGTTGACAGGGTGGCCTTCCCCAAGCAAGGACCATCTTCAGTGAGACCCCGGGCATCACACAGGTCCAGAGAGCAACTTCCCCGCATGTGTATGTGCCACAGGTTCCACCTGACCCCACCCAAACCCACTGGAGTTTGCATGCACGGTTGAGTTGGGCGAGGTGCTCTGCAACGGGAGGGCCCTTAGGACTGGATTTTCCAGCTCGGCCTTCCTTCTCACTCTCCTACCTTGGGGGAGCCAGGCAAGGCTCTGCTCTCACCTGAGACATCCAGTCAGTGTTGGCAACCTTGGCACACACCCAAGAGGCCCGCTTCCTCCAGCGTCTCTGATGGCAAACTCCCCTGCTCCTCTGGAAGAGCCTGACAGGACCCTGGAGGACGCCAGTTTCTGCGGAGGGTGTCAGTTTCTCGCTAGTAGAGTCCACGCTGCCGAAGGGTGGGAGCCCTCAGCACGGTGCTCTACGTGTCCTGTGGTTTGGGGCGATCATGGATGGGACAGGCACTGGGTGTTCAGAGGCGGTTCACTGTCCGTTAGACCTCGGACTTCCCCACAACGTGCCTCTCTGCCCTTAAATCGCAGGCCCAGAGCATCGGTTTAAGACAAGAGATGCCATCTGGAGGGCAATTTGCAGTAAGCAGCCTGTGCTGCCCTGGGTGCCCCAGCGAGGTTATCTGATCCCCTGAAAACCAGTTAGTACTTCTCTACCGTCCCCCCGCGCCGGGCCTACCAGGCATTTCCTCTAGCTATACACTGTGCTTCATATCACGGATACAGGAAGGATACAAGATCAATATTAAGATAAAAAATTAAAATCCAGAGAAAGATGAAACCGGGAAGGGGTTTGGCTCAGCAGCGAACCTCCTTGGATGCTCTCAGAAATGGGGTCCTCACCCCTCAGGGCTCGGAAGCCGAAAAAACTGGTCGCAGAGGATTTGTCCAAGGGCCACGGCCCCCCTCTGGAGGAGAGGAGCCTCGTACCTCTCTCAAGGCACCGGGAACGCCCCAAGAGAGGGGTCCCCACCACACGGAAGGCACAAGTGAAATAGGAAAGCGAGGGCGCTGTGGCCAAGGCTTCAGGCAGTGAGCGGCCGGGCAGCTACAGCTCGTTCTCCTGGAACAGGATCTGCGCGTAGACGGTGCTGCTCGGGGCGCCGGCGGCCGCCCGGCGGGGCCTGCTCAGCTCCAGCTCGGCGTAGGTCAGGTTCTCCTCGGCGATCTGTGGCTGCGAGACAGACACGGGCGCCCCGTCACGCGCTCGTCGCGTTTGGGGGGCGCAGGGGGAGAGAGGAAGGAAAACTTACAAGGACATAAAACCTCAGAAACACAGCGACATACATCTCACCGTCCTGGGCGGCACACCAGGCCTGCGGGAGGCGCTATGGTTTCTTTTCAAGTCAACATAGAGCACTAGCAAAAAATGACTGAAGATTAGGCCAAAGTAAACTTTAATTCTGAAAAGTGAAAGTAATGTCACTGACAGTCTCTGACCAAAGGAAAAAATATAGAGACAGAAACAAAAATCTTAGAAATTAATACCAAAACTAGAATGCTACCACCTAGAGATTTTCTTAAATGGCCTACCTGTCTAAAAGTAAAATTTCAGAGTATCTTGAAAACAATGACAAAGAAACTATTACTTGCCAGAACCTAAAACACACAGTACTCAGAGAAAAATCGGACTTAAATATTTATATTAAACAATGTGAATTAAATGGCTGAAGCAGCCAACTGAAAAAGCTAGAAAAAGAACAAACTAAATGAAAGTAAAGCAGAAAGAACCAATAAAATTAAAACCAGACTATGTGAATCAGAAAACAAAACAAAACAAAAACCCAATAGAATTAATAAAAATATCCAAAAGCTTGTGCTGGAAAGCACCAATAATATAAATACACTAAAAAATATATTGAGATAAAAAGGGAAAAACACATAAATGAACAAAAAAGGAAATAAGAAAGGGACTACAATGTAAATAAAGAAAAAAATTAAAATTAAAAAAAAACTACTTTGCTCAACTTATTGCAAGAAATTTGAAATACAGGATAAAATGGGTAATGTTCCAGAAGAATATGAATTACAAACATTAATTCAAAAAAAAAAAAGAATGTTCTAATTACCATCAAGAAAAGAAAAGAAAGTGAAAGAAGGAACATGGAAAAAAGAAGGGAAAGGGGAAAGAAAGAAATATTGTCAAAAACTCTCTCAAAAACACCAGTGCCAGGCAGTTTAATACAAGTTTCTAAAAAAAAAAATTTCTTTAAGGAACAGATAATTCCAATGTAATTAAAACGATCTTATGCATTAAAAAAAGAAAACAATTCACATATTTTAGAACAATCTAATTTATTAATATAAATTTTAAATCAGATTTACTCAGAGAATGAAGTATATTAAAAGTTAGATAATCATGTTAATTTTATTTAGAGAATGCAAAGATGCTTCAATATTAGAAAAATCTATTAATTCACAATAGTAGATAAAAAAGCCATTTTGTTATCTTTATAGATACTGGAAAGGTATCTAATAAAATTTAAAAACATTTTTGTTGAAAACGATTTTTGAATAAAGTAGTCATAGGTGTATATATTTTCTTACCATGTTTAAGTAACATGATTGAAATAAATATTTAGCGATCCAGCTCCAGTGATATTAAAAATACAAAGCTGCAATCATTCAAATACCGTAGCACCGCCTGGGCGGTGCACTCCATTGCTTAGGCGTCGCCCCAGCCGCCAGGAGGTCGCCAGTTAGATTCCCAGTCGGGCACACAGCCCGGTTTCGGGCTCAGAGCCTCACAGGGGGCACACAGGGGGCAGCTGATCGGTGTGCTCGCACCCAGAGGTTTCTGTCCCTCCCTCTCCCTTCTGCTCTCTCTAAAAATCAATGAAAATAACTTTTAAAAAATACTGTAGTACTGGCAAGTGAATAGATATAATATCAACGGAACTGATGAAAAAGTCCAGAAATTAACTCAAATGTTATTTGTCAATACATGGTGGGGGATACTTGGCTAGCCATTTAAAAAAAATTATATCCCTATATCTGTCTTGATACCAGAGAAGTTCCAGATGAATTAAACATTTCAATGTGGAAAATAAACTCATAAAAGTGCTAGAAGAATGTGTGAGAAAATTTTAAAAATAATCTCATCATATGATGTGTATTTTAAAGTATGATATAAAGTCCAGAAGTAATAGAGAAACTATATGGACATTTTCATAGGGCAAAGCACTCTAAATAAAGTCAAAGGGCAATTGGAAAGAGGGGGAAAACATCTGTAACTCCTATCAAAGGGCTTTACAATTCAACAACCCATCAGAAAATTAAGAGAAGTAACAGGCAGGGCCCAAAGGTTCATAGGCGAGGAGACAACCAACGGGCAGGTGCGGCGTGAGAGCGCCTGCCAGAGGACAGAGCTGGGATTTAAGGTCAGCTGACACTTCCCTTTTGTCTTTGGGGACCGTAAACTGGTGGCTGCCAGAGGGTGGGTGGGGCGGAGAAGGTGAAGGGAAACGAGCCACACAAACTGGCAGTTAGACCGTCAGCCAGTGACGGGCGGGCTGTGCGGCGCACGGGACAGTCAGTAAAGCCGCAGTGGCTCTGCAGGGTGACAGGCGGGTGCCCGACGCATCGGGGCGATCGCATTGTAAGAAACACGAATGTGGAGCCGCTATGGTGCACCCCTGAAACTAATGTGCATGTCATCTATACGTGAATAAAACGTTAAAAAAGACTGCCGCAAGAAAGAGAAACACGCCCCTTGCACACTGTCGGTGGACCTGGCTGCTGGGCCAGCAAAACCTGGCAACAGGTAAACGAGCGTCAGCAGAGGACCAGTGCGTCCCCACGGCCAGCACGCCGGTCTCTACGGGAACAGGGGGCCCGTGCGCCCCGCGTGTTCTACCGCCGCTGGTGCAAAGTGTGCAAGCGACAGGTGTGCCGGCATCTCCAGGCTCCCCAAGCCCTCGGGGCCTGCCTGGGGAACAGAGAACCTGGGGCCCCTTTTCCCGGGGGGGGCCGGACGACCCAGGAGACCTCCCCCTTTACTGTATACGTCTCTTTATACTTTTTGAATCTTGTGGAAGGAACATGTATTTAAACAGCACAGTAATTAATTCTAGTTCATAATTAGAAAGATGAAGGAACTAATCTGTGGTCATAAAGGATGGTCATGAAAGATGAAGGAACTGGCCTTCTCACAAGCAGCCCCGCTTCCGAGCCTTGCCTTTTGGCTTTGGTTGTGCTGCTGCTCTGTTTCCATTTTTGCTCTTTTGTGCTTTTACCTCGGTTATCTCACCAAAATTCAGGACGAATGAACCATCTGCTTTCATTTTAAGTTTCTCAAAAGAATTCCAAAAGCAGGAAGCCCCTTTTCTCTTGAATGCAACACGTGCTAGGTTCAGGGGGCAGGAGACAGAACATGCCACGACCTCCTCCAGCCAGCGAGTGCTGCAGCTGGCTGGTGCCACCTCCGCAGGCTGCCTCGCCATTTGCACATTGCGGAGCTAAGGACACTTAGAGGGACAGGCTCCTGTTTGTCTTCTGACACCCAAACTCTACATTGCTTCTTAGTCGCCCATACCTTACAAGCCAACAAAAACCCTGTGTGCATCCTGCCTTCGGTTTAATTGCATTTTGCACTCTGGTTCCATTTAGAAATGCCACGTGTACTCAAATAAGTACTCAAAGCCCAACTCATGTAAATTTTAGAGGCAGGATTTATGAAATCATATTGTCCAGGTGTTTTATTACATTACCTTGAAACTGCATTGTTTTCTAGTGTAGATTATCTGTTTATTCTTAAGTTACTCCATTACGTTTGGGTATGAAAAATAACACTAGCTTCCTCAATACAGGTCACAGGCTGGCTTGGCTGGTGTGCTGCATTCATACATTTTTATGATGTTCCGATAGTAAACATAATTTAATAAAGCCAAAGCACACTAAATAAATAATTGCATCTAGAAAAGCAATAAAAACAAATAAAATTAGTACTTTCATAAGTGGAAAGGTACTTCAATTACTGCTACAAGCACCACCACCCCCACCCCATAGAGTGTGTAGAATCATTTCCCTTATGCATATTTCTGGGATATAATAATTTGATTGAAGATATGAGGCAGCACACAGGAGGCTCCGAATTGTGAAGTGTATACAGTTTCCAACAGAAGATGCATAACATCAGCCCTTGGCACCCTTAAAGAACCTCTTGTTTTTCTGGCATGCACGCTTGGCTGTCACAATCAGCCATGTGTTAATTACAGTTCCCAGCGTGTTTAACTGGGAATGAATTCCTAAAAGCTGGTGAACGGGACAAGCGCGGACTCCTCACCAGTTGGCACCACGCTACCTTCCTTTGCACCCAAGTTTTCGTGGAAGGTTTGGGTGCATTGAGAATTAGCTTAGAGAAAAGTACCAGCACATCAGCGAGAGTGGGTAAGACTAGAACTGGTAATAAATCCAGGAGCCAGGAGCAGATGTAAAGGTTACAGCAACTGCAGCGGAGCGCGGGCAGTGTGGGAGACGGGCTGCAGAACCCCGCCTGTGGGTCAGGCGATGGCCCAGTCTCGGCAGTTAAGCCAGGCCTGGTTTGCTAAGGAATCACTCCCCGTGCCTATGGCAAGGGGGCTCTGAGGACGGATCAACAAGCTCTTCTGTTGGTTCCCTGCCATCTGCTAGCCCTCAATAGGACTCCCTTCAAGCCCCCACCCTGCTCTTGGGGTGCAGGAAGCACAGAAGTGCATGCGGCATCGGCACTCGAGACCACAAACGTAAATGCTCTTAAACTGGCCATTTACAAAACTTTAGGTTCTGCCAAAAGGCAAGGAAAGTGTCAGAAGTAGGCTTTCCTGGCCTCAGGCCTGAGCTGGTCTCCTGTCCCTGATGCTACTACATTTACTGGAAGGCAGGAGGGGAAGGATCAGACAGCAGAAGTGGACCAACGGCTGGAAGTCCTGGTAGAAAAAGCCCTTTAGAAAAAGCCCAGCGCTCTCTGGGCCTGCGAGGGCCCACTGCGCCAGGGCTGTTTGGTTCCACTCTTTCCTTTTGCCAGCCCGCAGGCTCCTGGGCAGCTTCTCTGTCCCTCCAATAAAGGCCTGGCATTTGTGTTCACTGCCTGGTGTCCTGTATGTTCTGAACCCCACTGTTTTATGCACCTCTATTCTCAGTGTTCATACATTTCCAGATAGGCTGGATAAAGGAAAGTCCTTCTAGCTCTCAGTT